TATTATCCTCAGAATTAGTGGTTGTCTTTAGAGCGGTAAACACCAGGCAGATTTTACAGATCTTGACACCACTACCAAATTTACTATCCAAGAAAAAGATATAATTGGAAAAAATTAAGAATTTTACTAAAGAAACTTATTTATAATGTGATAAAATAAGCTACAGGTCCCAGGCTCCCAGCTGTGCAATAGTCCGGACTCTGGAGTGTGGACCACTTTCTTGTTGACTGACTCTGCTCATTCGAATGCAGCCTCACCCAAAAAAATTATAATGAGGTTTCAATTTGCATCCAGTTTTTTAACTTTTCAAAGAATTCCAAATTCAACACTACAGCATTTTTGTGTTCATACCATAACGAGTAAACAATAAGGAAATAAAAAGAAAACTAAAACTCATCATAAAAACAGACCAAGTGAAGGAAAAAGAAAAATAACAAATTACCCAGAAAATTTAACCACCGACGAATTGAAAGGTACATATAGCCAGAATAGGTAAGGAATAAAGGTTGATCCCCAACCTTAAGCTCCCCCCACTGTCCCTGCCTTGGAGCACCGTGAAGGAAGTAAATCGCACGTTATGTTTTCAAGGGTACAGGATGGAAGGCTATTATACAGTTGCACTTGGCCAAGAGCTAGAATAGGTAAGGAATAGCTAATGTACCTGGAGGAGGAAGGGTGAAAATTGACAGCCTTTTGGAAGCAGGGTTGATAACAAATTGAAATAGGAAGTACTGAATAGGGGCTTGAGAAAAATGGTAAAAATCAAAGAATTAGACATTAAAAAAAGGGGAGGAGGGGGGGCGGGGGTTGTAATTGTATTTGGCGGGAAATATGACCTACGACAAGTTGTGAAAAAAAATAAAAATAAAAATATAAAAAGAGAGAGAGAGAGTTGCACCGTCACCGTGTGACGGGGAAGGAAAAAGTCAAATTATTGCTTGTGGAAGAAATAATATATTTATGTTAAAAATTTAAAAGTATGATTGTTTACCCCTCGTTTGACCTCTATTATTTGAATTTATAATGGAGAGAATAACATTTTTTTGAAAAATAGATGGTGGTAAAAAAATGAAAAATTTTCTATTTACATATAATATTATTTTATTAAAAATTGTATGAATAAAAATAGCAGAGAGCAAAATTTAAATTAAATTAATGAGTTTTAATGGGGTCAAACGAGGACTTATATCGTTGAAAGGGTCATGTTAGTAAATAGAAAAATAAATATTTGAAATTGGGTACTATGAGTACAAATCTTGGTTACAAATAACAATATAACCACTCCTCTAAAGAACAAGAAGCAAGAAAACAAAGAGCATGGGAGAGAGACAACCGTTGGAAAAAGAAAAATAGAAATGTGAAGAATGCGAGGCAAGTGTTTGATCTATTTTTATTTTTATTTTTATTTTTAAAGACGATATTGCACTATATAAATGTTTAGGGTTTTGACAAAATATTACAATTACTTTTTGTTGAGGAAATATTTAGACCTAAAAATGCGAAATTAATTAATAACAAGCAACAATGCACTTAATTATGGTTTTTAAATAATTAAGGTTATTAATTCAATTTAAACCCTAAATGTCAATCAATAAACATGTTGATCAAAAATAATAAAATAAATAATATCAGATATCATTATAGAGGAAAACTCCTTTTCAGGATCAAAAACCTCCAAACAAACTTGCCAGTAAAATTTATTGGAAAAGTTAACTTACAATTAGTCCAAACATAGCTAAACTTTAGTTGACTATGGCCATCTAAATTTTAAATTACTAAGGAACTCCTTTAATTGTAAGTCTTGCACTTTTCAATAACTCTGGATTACTCCTCTCTGTGTGGATCACCACAAATGAATTCGTTCCGGAGCACTGAAACTCCAAGCGCACCTTCTCCAAAATTCTGAACTCTGAAGGATTTTTGGTGTTTGATCTAATAATCCTTTTTGTTTTGATCTGTAGAAGAGCATATTGGAATTTGGATTTGATCTTTAAAGAATGTTCACTTGATTGAATACAAGGCTCATCCAATAGCAAAATAATGTTTGGGATGATTTATGAAGAATTGAATATTGTTGTTGAATCAAGGAATCAATGAAAGATGTTTTGGACCTTTAATAATGTGATCTCTAATGTATAATAATGATTTATCACACCTTCAGGACGGATTAGGCTTGGTTATTTATAATATGAAGAATGAAGAGTTTGAGATTGAATAGAAGTGAACAACATGCTAAAAGTCATGGATGGAATTTTTCCAGATACTTGTGCCACTTGAGCACTGGGCCTACCGAGCGGTCATTCCGCTGCTCGAGCATCGGGCAAGCGGTTGTGTTACCGTTTTGAGTGTTCAACACGCAGCCAGTGAATCGTTTTGCTCTGACTTTTTTCTCCTCAGCCCATATTTGATATCTTTGATTCCTCAAGGACTATAATACCAATCCACAATTATTTTGATTTTAATTACAACTCTATAACTCGTGATTTTGAATATGAAAATTGACGATTAAAAATTTAGAAATTGCTAATTACATATTTGAACCTAACACTTTCCAAAATAACAACATTCTAGATTGCGAGAACATGAAACCATATAATGTTTCGTGTTCTCTTTTTTATGAAAAGATAACTTAAAAAATATGTAGAAAGAATTTTGAACTAGAATGGAGAAGTTTTAAGTACACAAATAATGGATGCGATCCATATCAAATTATCTAAAGTCTTTCAACCTAAGACTCAAACTTGGACTATATCAAATTCTCTAATAACTGCTATCCAATTCTACTTTCGAACACATTCCCCATTCTCAATCTTAATTCCTCGTTCACTCCAAATTGATATGATGAAACAACTATACTACGATCATCCTCGCATGGTAGAACACATTTGACATTTGAACTGTCATATTCAACTGATAGTCTCACTTAAATAATTGGTCAAAATTGATTATATCCAGTATTTGGCCCCTATTTGTCATTCTTTACTTTACATTTTTTTTCCATTATTTTTTTTACAATACTCAATTTTAATCACATATTCTTCATAAAAATAATATTATACACAAATCAAAAAAATTTCCTTCTTTTTTTGATCTCACATTCTCCTTAAATCACTATTCCATAATACATTTCTTCAAATTATTGGGGCTCAAACAAGGCCTTGTTCAAAATTCCAACATGAAGATTGTGGCACTATAGGTGTTAAAAGATATAAATCTTAACGCAAAGAATAGAGGTGTCAAACTGACTAGCCCAGAACTAAGGCTTGCCCTGGCTTGGGATCGGAATGGCATGTGGGTTCTGGTGGTGACAATAGTGCTCAATTATGATATGCTTGAAAGTCGATATACTGGCTAATCCACTCCCATCGACAGGCCAATCTGAGTCATGTACATCGGGAACAATGATTGCTTGTGGCCTGTAAATTATATGATTAAGGAGAGTAGGCAGAAGTTCTACTTCTACAGGGACAAGCTAGTGAGCCAGGGTGCCATTTTGAGATG